GCTTCCACATCCGCATGCTCGAAGGCCACCTTGCGATTGGGGATCTCACTCAGGACTTCGGCCTCCATAGCCTGGAAAACCAGGATCGTAGACACCAGACCGAAATATGCATACACATTGCTGCGCAGTGCATCACACTCGAGCAAGCCTCGAAGTCCTGCGCATCCACGTACGGAGCGGTGTCCTGGATCAGCCGCACCAGAGCATCCAAGAAGCAGGCCTTGACAAATCGACATAAGCAATGGTTTGGTGTAGTTTGTCCAGGCTCTACAAACCGGATCACAGAGCTGGGCTCGAGGCGAAGTTCAAGTCTCCGTCGAGATCTCCGCCGGCCCACTTCTTGTTAACGTCGCCCCACTTGCTTAACACCATTGCGTTGCCTGGGAAGATGTCTGCAGCATACAGGCTCCTAGCGACAGCGTATACTCTTAACCCAACTACCACCTGCAGACGAGACTCGTGGGAGCGCCATCCCTGCAGGCGGCTGCCTGGCCTGCAGAATGCCGACGTCGGCCGGGCCATGGCACGGGTAGCGCCAAACCTGAGAACGGAGTAACGGTGTCACGACACACAAAAACAAATATCTTAGCCACAACAAGCGTGCCTTAGCGGTAGCGGCCCGCGCTAAGTGAGAGCAAGGCACGGCAACAGGTCCGATGTACGCTTGGTTGCCCTTGACGATGTAACACTCGCCGGGCTGGAGCGTCCCGGTTATGTCGGCCGACGCGTAAAGCGCGGCCGACTCTGCCGGCCTTGGCGAGATAACTGCTAGGGATACACTTTGTCGATTTGTGCTAGGTAAACTGAGACAGCTGCAACTGCAGCTGACCCTTCTTGTTCTGCCGAACTCGGAGGTTCGTGTACCGCGACAGCCCCAGCTGCAGGGCCGTCTTGGTCCTGCTGTTTGAGAAAGCGAAGCACATTACGGACTAGTCTGGGCGTGCCAACAATTTGCAATAACAGAACTCAGAGCAGCGAAGTCCGGCACTAGCTGTCGGCAATCACTCCGTATGTCAGTGGTTGTCCAACGTTCTTCACACAGCAACATCCTATCCCATACACAGCAACAAAGATTAGACTTGTGTCGCCCCCTGTAACGTGTGAAGCCTGTCTGCCTTCGATCCCCTCAGCCTCCTGACATACGAGTCCCGACAGAACCACGACAGGCTGCAAGTGAACACACCGCGGAAGCACATCCGCAGACGAAAGGCCCCGGATACGCAAGCTACACTGCTGACACGAACTCCTGGCTTTCCACGCCCAGGGCTGAGCCTCTTTCGTCTTGCCCAGTAGACTGGCCACGTCCGTGGCCCTGTGCTCCTTGGCATCCGCCGGCCCCCACGCCAGCACTTCGTCGCTACAGACTCACGCTGCCCGAGCTCGGTCAAACTGCATATCGCTCTTGCAGCACACAGACCATCCAACCTTCCCCCATGTCCCCGTAGTCAATCGAAGTCAGGTCGCATTAGAGTCCGCGACCTCCACGCGGATCTCTGACGGCCGCACTCGCCGGTTTGCTAGACCGTCGGAAGCATTCTGGTCCTGAGCACGCGATCTTGTGACAGTACCAGCCGCACTCCCACATGCCATGCCGCCGATAATCACACTGCCACGTTCCAGCAGCAGTCCTCCATCGGCATCTGTGCCAAGCTTTCGGCCTGCGTCGTCTGCATCTCATGACGGCAAGGCACGTCCCAAGCCTGGCGTCTGTGGGTCGAACTCTCACCGTCGATCCCCCTTCCCTCCCATGGCGCCCTCAAGCATCAATGCAGGTCCGAATCTTGTCAAGTTCGCTCGCACCTTGTAGCCCACGTGCTTCCTGGTGAACGACTTGCCCACCTCGAGGATTTCCTGCGGAGACGAAGAGCGTCTCTTGCGCAATCCACGACACGGCAAGAAGGCACCAACATGCGTCCAAGTCCTGCAGCCGCGTGAGCATCCCATCACGCAGCTCAACGGGACAGCACGCGACTCGCATCAAGAGGGCCGCGTAGACGGAAGGCGTGATGCCTGCAACACGGACCAAAGAGCATGCTCCTGGATGAGCATGCATTGCCCCACCAAAGCGACACCGTTACCCCTGTTGCTAACCTTAACCGGCCTGGGTCCTCCATCTGCTTGGAGCTATCGCGAGCGAAGTCGAGCCCGCGTTGTAGATCCGGATAGGCTCCACGAGCCTCGACCTTGATACACGCCTTCGGCAGCAAGAGTCGCCATGGGTGCTGGAGATCGAGGTGAAGCATGCCCTTGACCTGAGCAAAAGAAGCTCGCACGGCTGGTACTGTTGCGCATACAGAGTTTGTCCGACGAATGAATACAGACGGTGGAAACTATGTGCACTTCCTGGGAGCTTTTTCTGGTAGCTCGTGGCACATGCTTTTCTGAACTCATGTGTGTCAGTAGTGATGTATTACTGTCCACCAGTGGCTGCTTCGTGGCAACTCGGCAGCTTGCAGTATGAGCTTCAATGACTGCAATGGTGTCGCTCCAACCGAAGCAGGGTGCTCGCAAGGGTACCTAGTTTGTTCGAAGTGTACCCGGCTTGTGCGCCGCGAACTTGCGGGGTGATGTCAGACTGCTGGTGAGTCATATTCCAAAGTTCGTGTCCGACCTGCATCCTTCTAATCCCGGTGTGGCAATTGCCGACCCTAACATGGCGCCCGCCGCCGTCAAAAAGGCCGTTGATCTGAAGAATGCGTTCAAAGTTTACTTGCGGCCCTTCCTTTTGTTGCTCAACTGGGCGGCCGGCTTCACAAGACGTGGCTGATCTAAGCGGGTTTTCAGGCTCGAGTATTCCTCCCCTAGGTATTGGAGCAATTCCGCAGGAAGTTCCACTGCGGAGCACCTNNACCAGCAAAGCATACGACACCTTCTTCGAGCTCATCAGGTTTGCGAGCATCAATCATTCCAGCGGGCGTACCATCACTCTTGGTTGATATTGTTCGGCGATGGTTTTCCCAAGGATCCGAAATGGGTCCCCGACTGTTTCTGAAGAATGAGGATACCTACAAGAAGCAGACGGCGAGCACACCCGATAGTAAGCGGAGACCCGCATGCGCGACCCTGTGCCGCTTGTAGCTACGGCAAGAATCCAGGTTAGCCACAGACCTCCAGCAGCTCGTCGCCCACGGGCACAGCTCCACGGAACTGGTAGGCATCGTACAAGACGTGATGCTGGTTAGGGACGTCCACATCGTCCCAGATGCCGAGGGCCCGAGCCTCAGGTATGCGGCCGCGGCTTTGCAATTAGCAAGATCAGCACAACATTCCATCCTCATGCTATGCGGGACGGTCCAGACGCATAGTCAGTAGAGGCGCTGCCTCAATGCCCAACAGGGCCTGGCCGTCGAGCCAGTCTGCTCCTGCCTGCACGACGAAATGGGTTTTGCGCTCTTGCACACCTTTCTCGCACACGCTGGCATCGAGTTCCAGAAACCAAAGGCGTGCAAGCCCCCCCCCCCCCCCCCCCC